GCAAGATGGACAAAAGCACTAACTCTCAAACGCCTCAAAGGGGTCAGTGCCAGGAAGAAACCAGGGAATCAGGTGTGTAGATGACCTATGGATAAAGTCCTGGTGATGCAGCCCTCCTCAGATTGGGAGATCAACAAAACTGGAAAAAAGCACATAGGTGGTGCAAACATCTAGCGCATTATCCAAGGTTTATTAAAATGTTTTTAAAAGACAAAAAACATACTCACAAAATAAGTACGTGAAAAGCCTGTAAAGCCACAGAGATGGCCCAAAATGATGGCAGAGTGTCCAACTGATGGTCTGCTGATGCATTTTGGGGATGTGTCCCTTTCCTCAGAGCTGAAGCCGACCTGAATTAGTGCCCTACTATATATATATATGTGTGTAACCAGTGTCACATATAGCAAGGCCCCTCTCCTCAAACACAGAAGGGGAGGGGATCATTAGATTGAGTTAAGAAAGTATATATAAAAAAGTGGTGATACATGAATAATGCAAATATAAAAGTACAATGATCCAATAATATTATAATACTCTAATGACAACATATATTCATTTGTACCTGGCTTTATAAAACCAACAAACAATTAAATATAAGTGTATGTAGATGAATGTACATCTGATGATCAGTATAATCTGTGCAAAAGCAAGAGAAATACCTTTATAATGGCTGAACCTGCACCATGCATAGGTATGGCATGGTGTATCTATAGCTGGATGGATCTGTATACAAGAAAATTTTTTTAGAGATGTTAGTGTGCTTCATAGGCCGGACGTGACTCACCGGAAATGCGTCATCATGACATCATATCCAGTGTGGTCAGGTAAAGACCTCTGGAGCGCACCGAGATGGTCGTGCACTCCATAGGCCTGAAGTGACTCACCGGAATTACATCACCACAACACCATATCCAGTATAGTCAGGTGGCGACAGTTGGAGCACAACAATGTATAGGGAAGTGCTGGATGAGCGGCACCAAGCAACTGGCCAATGATGAAAGCAATGTGACAACTAGAACTGAAACTGAAAATGAATTGGAAAAAATGAATGAAATGTATAGAATAAGAATTTGAGAAAAAATTATTACGGAAAAAGATGATGGAAAGGAAAAAAAATTAATACAGTTATGTGTAAAATGAAATATGCAAATAACGTTAAAAAATGTAAAAATAAATAAATATAAATATATACTGTATATATATATATAATGACAATAAAAATGGAACAAACCAAAGGCCAGGTGAATACATGACAATGTCTAAATGAATGGATATGAATAAAAATCTAAGTACATACATGAGTAATAAGGGCTTAATATTAATAATGCAGCCTGATGCCACACCTGTGAAGTGGTGTTTGAAATCACAATGGGCAACCCATGAATACACAAAATGTGATATCACAATATACAATGAATGCACGTTAATATCTGATTTTTTTTAATATATAAAAAAGAAAAATTTACAATATCCATTCATCTATTTTTTATCCCCACTGGGCTAAGGGTCACTAAATGCCTTCATTTTATGAAGTTGCCTATTCGTAACTTAGCAAGTTGTGCAGCACCACCAGGCAGGATCATACATTGCAGATATCTCAATTAGAAAAAGAAACACTAGAGGGTCTAAAGAATAATCAACAGATTGTGATCAAACAAGCAGATAAGGGAGGGGGGCTGGTTATATAGAGTGGACAGGACTATCTCACAGAAGCCATGAGACAAATTAGGATATTGTGACACCTATGAGAAACTCTTGGGGAATGCAATCGGGCCTTACAAATTCACTCTTAAGGCCCTGTTAGACCAGGCTCTGAGGGATGGGGTGTTGAATAAACAAGAATGGCAATTTTTGTACAGACCATTCCCCTTAACCCCACACTTTTATCATATTCCAAAAATACATAAGGATCCCATTCATACCCCTGGAAGACCCATTATATCTGGGATTGATAGCCTTACCAACATCGCGGAAAAATTACATTAATCATTTCTTACAACAATATGTAATATCACTCCATGCATATGTCCGATACTCGGGTCACATGCTTGATATCTTATCCAATTACTGTTAGCAACTAGGTTATAGGTGGGTTTCACTAGATGTGGCCTCCTTATATAACTCTATAGCTACTAGCGGTTCAACACTTTCTCACTTTAGATAATACTTTACATCTCTCTCAGGCGAATTTCATCATCCAATGCATTCAATATTCCCTCACTCACAATTATTTTGTGTGTTTCAAGATACCTTTTTTAGACAAATCAAAGGCACAGCCATGGGGACCAGGTTTACCCCCAGTTATGCTAATATATTTATGGGTTATTGGGAAAAATTCCAAATTTGGAGCAATAACCTTTTTGGGGCGAACCTGGTGCTTTTTACAAGGTATAACGATGGTATCCTGATTATTTGGGATGGCACAGATAGTGAGTTGGACAAGTTCCTCTCTCATTGCCGGAAAAATCCTTTTAACATTGAACATTGTAGTGGATGGCAACAAACTTGTGTTTCTTGATTTAGAGCTCATGTTCAATAATGATTATAACATCATTTCTAAGACACATTTTAAAACTTCAGCAGGTAATTCTTATTTGCATGTCAACAGCCATTACCATCTGAGACGGATTCAAAAGGTACGCTTTGGGCAATTTTGCCATTTAAAGAGAACTGGCACGTGTCTTGAAGATTATGATGTACAGAGTATCATCCCCAAAAAGAAGTTTCAAGAGAAAGGGTATGCAACAGCGGCCAGCGGCCATTGACAAGCATATGAAAAGTATAGGGTCCAGAACCTCACGAGTACTCATTTGGTAGCCATCTCCAAACTGCTTAATAGGAGGGAGCAGCAATCAAAATACATTGCTTTTTGCACCCGGTACAATCCGAAAGCTTTTCAAATCAAAATGGTCTTTAAAAAGTATTGGGGTATTTATAATCCAAGGCTGGACACAAACACCAAGAGCAAGTCACACACACTGCACAGGTACAATCAACCAGCACTCACACCATTGATTTTAAGCTTTATAAGGAACACACTACCAAGTGTAAAGCTGCCCTGGCACATTATGCACCATTCACTCAGCACCCCAAGAAAAAACAGAATCCAACTGCAGTGTTCCTGCACTGTCATAACCTCCACTTTCATTATCACTGTCAGGAATGGACTAGCCAGCAATGGTGGGACTCACCTGCCTTTTGATCTGCAGTACCAGGGCTGGCCAGCGGATGCTCCCAGCAATCAGAGACTCAACTTTGCAGCCAGCTAACACCTGGAACTGATTATGCTGGGGTATTTAAGGGATGGCCAGACTTGCAGACTCTGCCTTGGTGTTGTGTTTCTCTTGGGCCCTGTATCCTGTTCCTGCTCTCTGTTCTGATCCCTGGCTTGTCTGACCATCCCTCTGCCTGACCCTCTGTACTACGCTGCTGCTACCTGTTCTGATCCCTGGCTTGTGACCCTGACCATCCCTCTGCCTGACCCTCTGTACTACGCTGCTAGCTACCTGCTGAACCTGGCCTGTGACCCCGACCAATCTCCGCTTGCTCCCCCTGTACCTACCTGCCCAATTGATATTGACCCGGCCTGCCTGACGACGCTTTCTTGTATGTACTGTTATCTGTGGGTGGTTGGTTGGTTTGTTTGCACTGTATTATGTTTAGTATTGCACTGCGTTTATGTTTGTATTGTTAGTGTTAATAAATTATATTGTTTATCACATATCTGAAGTCTGCGTTTCCCTGCGTCAGTCACACACCTCTGGTCACACCTGGGAGCCCTGACATTACACCAAGGCCAATCCTGACCAGAAGCTGGCTGCACAGGGAAGCCATCTTGGCTTGTTGCTGGGAAGGATGGATCTGGATGAGGTTGTGTATCTATCTCTGCTAGTGTTTGATGACAGGGAGTATATGCTTATCAGACTCTGAAGGAGTATACCCGGGATCAACTACTAGAATGTATACGGCTCGCTCATGTTCTAGTAGATCAGGGCACAGAGTTCTCTGAGGTGCAGCCCTTTGATTGAGGTTTGTGCTGAGTTGGTTTCATCTGGTTCCCCCGAATGCAGGGATGAATTTTTGCCACCATTTAGTGCAGACCAGGTAGAGTCCCTGGTGTGGTTATTAGAGGATGATGTGGGTTACTTTCTGGAGCGTTATTCCACATGTTCACCACAGACACTAAGAGATTGTATAAACGCAGTGCAGTCATTGACCAGACAGGCTTTGTGTAAGCTCAGCTTTGTTCAACCCCTACTGCAGACATGGACAGACTTGTTGCACCCAGCCTCAGTCAGCTTACAAAGACCCAGTCCTGCTTCTAACTCTACTCCTGTATTCCCACCAGCTCCTCCAGTTACAGCCCAGTATATTTGGCTATCTACCGCATGTCAGTACCCTGTTCCCACTCGCTGCACCTATCCTGCCTTTAAACCTGTAAAAAAGTCCTCTGTAGCAACTGCTCCCTCTCCTGTTCCATCCTCCAGTTTTTCTCTGTCTCCAGCTGCTCCATTCGTTTGCAGACCTGCGTTTACTTGCAGTGCTCCAGTAGTTAAAACCAGAAAAAAAGCGAAAATTCTTTCCAACCAATACCATCCTGCCAGTATCCAAACCGGTGAACCTGCCTTCCGTGACTCAGCCTGAAGCCTCTCTTCAGCCGGATGCCTCTCTTCAGCCTGATGCCTCTCTTCAGCCTGATGCCTCTCTTCGGCCTGATGCCTCTCTTCGGCCTGATGCCTCTACTCGGCCTGATGCCTCTACTCGGCCTGAAGCCTCTACTCGGCCTGATGCTCTACTCGGCCTGAAGCCTCTACTCGGCCTGATGCCTCTACTCGGCCTGATGCCTCTACTACTCGGCCTGAAGCCTCTACTCAGCCTGAAGCCTCTACTCAGCCTGAAGCCTCTACTCAGCCTGAAGCCTCTACTCGGCCTGATGCCTGCATTCAGCCTGATGCCGCTACTCAGCATGATGAACTGATCCAGCCCGACGATCCTATTAGGCCAGTTGACTCGATGCCCGCTGTTGATCCAGATGATCCGGTACCTGATCCAGTGCCCGCTGTCGTGCCAATTGACTCAGAGCCCGCTGTCATACCTGGTGCCCCGGTGCCCACTGCCTTGCCAGATGACGCGGTGCCCGCTGGCAAGCCAAATGACCTGATGCCTGGTGACCCAGTGCCCGCTGTCATACCTGGTGACCCGATGCCCGCTGTCGAGCCAGACAATCCGATACCTGATGACCCGTGCCCACTGTCGTGCCTGTTGACTCGGAGCCCACTGTCTTGCCAGACGACTCGGTGCCCGCTGTTCCGCCAGTCGACTCGGTGCCCGCAGTCTTGCCAGACGACTCGGTGCCCGCAGTCTTGCCAGACGACTCGGTGCCCGCAGTCTTGCCAGTTGACTCGATGCCTGCTGTTCCGCCAGACGACTCGGTGCCCGCTGTCTTGCCAGACGACTCGGTGCCCGCAGTCCCGCCAGTTGACTCGATGCCCGCTGTTCCGCCAGTTGACTCGGTGCCCGCAGTCTTGCCAGACGACTCGGTGCCCGCAGTCTTGCCAGACGACTCGGTGTCCGCAGTCTTGCCAGACGACTCGGTGTCCGCAGTCTTGCCAGACGACTCGGTGCCCGCAGTCTTGCCGGACGACTCGGTGCCCGCAGTCTTGCCGGATGACTCGGTGCCCGCTGTTCCGCCAGTTGACTCGATGCCCGCAGTCTTGCCAGACGACTCGGTGCCCGCAGTCTTGCCAGACGACTCGGTGCCCGCAGTCTTGCCAGACGACTCGGTGCCCGCAGTCTTGCCAGACGACTCGGTGCCCGCAGTCTTGCCAGTTGACTCGATGCCCGCTGTTCCGCCAGTTGACTCGATGCCCGCAGTCTTGCCAGACGACTCGGTGCCCGCAGTCTTGCCAGATGACTCGGTGCCCGCCAGTCTTGCCAGTTGACTCGATGCCCGCTGTTCCGCCAGACGACTCGGTGCCCGCAGTCTTGCCAGACGACTCGGTGCCGCAGTCCCGCCAGTTGACTCGATGCCTGCTGTTCCGCTAGTTGACTCGATGCCCGCTGTTCCGCCAGTTGACTCGGTGCCCGCAGTCTTGCCAGACGACTCGGTGCCCGCAGTCTTGCCAGACGACTCGGTGCCCGCAGTCTTGCCAGACGACTCGGTGCCCGCAGTCTTGCCAGACAACTCGGTGCCCGCAGTCTTGCCGGACGACTCGGTGCCCGCTGTTCCGCCAGTTGACTCGATGCCCGCAGTCTTGCCAGACGACTCGGTGCCCGCAGTCTTGCCAGACGACTCGGTGCCGCAGTCTTGCCAGACGACTCGGTGCCCGCAGTCTTGCCAGACGACTCGGTGCCCGCAGTCTTGCCAGTTGACTCGATGCCCGCTGTTCCGCCAGTTGACTCGATGCCCGCAGTCTTGCCAGACGACTCGGTGCCCACAGTCTTGCCAGACGACTCGGTGCCCGCAGTCTTGCCAGACGACTCGGTGCCCGCAGTCTTGCCAGATGACTCGGTGCCCGCAGTCTTGCCAGACGACTCGGTGCCCGCTGTTCCTCCTGTTGACTCGATGCCCGCAGTCTTGCCAGACGACTCGGTGCCCGCAGTCTTGCCAGACGACTCGGTGCCCGCAGTCTTGCCAGAGACGACTCGGTGCCCGCAGTCTTGCCAGACGACTCGGTGCCCGCAGTCTTGCCAGTTGACTCGATGCCCGCTGTTCCGCCAGTTGACTCGGTGCCCGCAGTCTTGCCAGACGACTCGGTGCCCGCAGTCTTGCCAGACGACTCGGTGCCCGCGCAGTCTTGCCAGACGACTCGGTGCCCGCAGTCTTGCCAGATGACTCGGTGCCCACTGTCGTGCCTGGTGACTCGGTGCCCCCGCCGCTTCGTCTGGGGGCCCGAGACCTGTTGCTCCACCTGGGGGCCCGAGACTGTCGCTCCACCTGGGGGTCCGGCGCCCGCCGCTCCGCCTGAGGGCCCGAGACCTGTCGCTCCGCCTGGGGGCCCGAGACCTGTCGCTCCACCTGGGGGTCCGGCGCCCGCCGCTCCGCCTGAGGGCCCGAGACCTGTCGCTCCATCTGGGGGTCCGGGCCCGCCGCTCCACCTGGGGGCCCGAGACCTGTCGCTCCACCTGGGGGCCCGAGACCTGTCGCTCCACCTGGGGGTCCGGCGCCCGCCGCTCCGCCTGAGGGCCCGAGACCTGTCGCTCCATCTGGGGGTCCGGCGCCCGCCGCTCCGCCCTGAGGGCCCGAGACCTGTCGCTCCGCCTGGGGGCCCGAGACCTGTCACTCCATCTGGGGGTCCGGCGCCCGCCGCTCCGCCTGAGGGCCCGAGACCTGTCGCCCCGCCTGGGGGCCCGATGCCTGTGCCCTGCCTGGGGGCCCGATGCCTGTCGCCCCGCCTGGGGGCCCGATGCCTGTCGCCCCGCCTGGGGGCCCGGTGCCTGTCGCCCCGCCTGGGGGCCCGGTGCCTGTCGCCCCGCCCGGGGGCCCGGTGCCTGTCGCCCCGCCCGGGGGCCCGGTGCCTGCTGCCCCGCCCGGGGGCCCGGTGCCTGCTGCTCCGCCTGGTAATCCGATGTGCCTCTGCCCGGAGTCCTGCCCGGTGTGCCTCTGCCCGGAGTCCTGCCCGATGTGCCTCTGCCCGGAGTCCAGCCCGATGTGCCTCTGCCCGGAGTCCAGCCCGATGTGCCTCTGCCCGGAGTCCTGCCCGATGTGCCTCTGCCCAAAGTGCCTCTGCCGGTGTGCCCCTGCCCGGTGTGCCGCTGCCCGGAGTCCTGCCCGGTGTGCCAGTCTTTGATATCCCGCCAGTTACCAGACCCGGGCGGTGGAACATTTTGCCCAGCTAGGACTGTTTGGAGCGTCCTGTGGCCGCTCCTTGAGGGGGGGGTACTGTCAGGAATGGACTAGCCAGCAATGGTGGGACTCACCTGCCTTTTGATCTGCAGTACCAGGGCTGGCCAGCGGATGCTCCCAGCATTCAGAGACTCAACTTTGCAGCCAGCTAACACCTGGAACTGATTATGCTGGGGTATTTAAGGGATGGCCAGACTTGCAGACTCTGCCTTGGTGTTGTGTTTCTCTTGGGCCCTGTATCCTGTTCCTGCTCTCTGTTCTGATCCCTGGCTTGTCTGACCATCCCTCTGCCTGACCCTCTGTACTACGCTGCCTGCTACCTGTTCTGATCCCTGGCTTGTGACCCTGACCATCCCTCTGCCTGACCCTCTGTACTACGCTGCTAGCTACCTGCTGAACCTGGCCTGTGACCCCGACCAATCTCCGCTTGCTCCCCCTGTACCTACCTGCCCAATTGATATTGACCCGGCCTGCCTGACGACGCTTGCTTGTATGTACTGTTATCTGTGGGTGGTTGGTTTGGTTTGTTTGCACTGTATTATGTTTAGTATTGCACTGCGTTTATGTTTGTATTGTTAGTGTTAATAAATTATATTGTTTATCACATATCTGAAGTCTGCGTTTCCCTGCGTCAGTCACACACCTCTGGTCACACCTGGGAGCCCTGACAATCACACAACACACAGGAGGATATATCTTATAGTCATCACAATCCGCATAATAACACATACAAATAGTAATGTGATTATTACAGCATGAAACAAAACACATCTTTTGACAGTGTCACAGCATAGAATTAATACATTACCAAATCTACGGGAAGAAGGGAAGAAAGAGTCCTCATTAAAACCACTGTGCACAGAAGATCATAGAGAAGCCTAGAACATGATCGATCGATGAGGTCATGCAGCTTCTGCAACAGTCCCTGCGTCGGAGCATCCCCCACATGCACGGGATGGCCTTTGATCTCATTGCCTCCAGGCCCTCTTAAACATCCTGGTTCAGTGCCTCTGGCCACATTCCAAGGGCGGGCGGCGGCACCTCTTCCTGCTCCAAGAAGTTATTGCTGAAAAACATTGAAAGTTTCTGTGAGGTAACAGAGTCACACCCAGTCACCTACCTGCACAAAAAAGTCTTATCTAATCTAACTTAAACATTTCTAACTGCACAAACAAGTCACAAACAAGTCTTATACTGCATAAACAAGTCTTATTTAATTTAAGCAGTTACAATGTTTTGTGACTCTGTAAGTTTCCTTTAGCCTTAAGGAATGACATTGTCACTCCCTGTGCTTCTGGCATATGGGCAGGGATGCTTTATTGTAAAAATCCCCAAGGAAACAAACGGCACAAGGCCAGCACATTTGCGTGTTAAATTTGGAATGAATATATAATGCATGTTGAATGAAAGCCACAAATATATGAAGTTGAGGGACCGATATATCATCAGTGGATCAGAGCATTAGTAATCTAGCCCTTCATTGAGCCCGCTAGATGACAGTGCCCAGGCGATGAATCAAAAAAGTCTCACTCTGACACAATTTACGAAAACGTCTCCCAGTGTCAATATCACTGGGAATACTCTCTAGCCCAAAACTCTGAGACTGCTGGACTTTTGTCATGTTTCTTGAAAATGGTTATATACATATAAAAAAATCTTTTATACTGTAAAAAAAAAAAAAATCAGTTATTAACATACATTCATTTGTGTAGTGATACCACATTTTGTGTGTATTCATGGATTGCCTATTGTGATTTCAAACACCATTTCACAGGTGTGTCATCAGACCACATTATTCGTATTAAGCCCTTATTACCCATCTATATACTTAGATTTCATTCATATCCATTCATTTAGACATTGTCATGTATTCACCTGGCCTTTAGTTTGTTCCATTTTTTATTGTCATTTCATATATATATATATATATATATATATATATATATTTTACATTTTTTAACATTATTTGCATATTTCATTTTACACATATATAAAAAAAAAAATTTTCCTTTCCATCATCTTTTTCCATAATAATGTTTCCAACATTTTTATTCTATACATTTCATTTTTTTCATGTTCTTTTCATTCATTTCATTAATTTTCATTTTCAGTTCTAGTTGTCTCATTGCTTTCATTAGTGGCCAGTTGCTTGATGATCCAGTGCTTCACTATCCATTAATGCGCTCCAACGGTCTCCACCTGACTACAACCGAATATGGTGTTGTGGTGATGCAATTCCGGTGAGTCACTTCCAGCCTATGGAGCGCACGACCATCTCAGTGCGCTCCAGCGGTCTTTACATGACCACAACGGATATAACATCATCATGATGCATTTCCGGTGAGTCACTTCCGGCCTATGGAGGACATGACTGTCTCAGCATGCACTCCAGCTGCCAATTTGTTTTTTTTTTTTTTTTTAATTTTACTTGTATACAGATCCACCCAGCTTTAGATACACCATGCCATACCCATGTACAGTGCAGGTTCAGCCTTTATAAAGGTATTTCTCTGGCTTTTGCACAGATTATACTCATCATCAGATATACATTCATCTACATACACGTATATTTGTTTGTTGGTTTTATAGAGCCAGGTACAAATGAATATATGTTGTCATTACAGTATTATAATATTATTGGACCAT